GCTCCCTGTGGCCACGGTTCACCTTTCCCAGCCAATAGGAGCTGCTTCCCGCAGCTCTCATGGGCTGGGAACAGCAAACCGCAGACAGTGGGAGCTGAGGGGCTCCATGCCTGTGAACGCTCCAGCTAAACAAAACGTCCAGGCCCGCTAGCGGCTTACCCTAATGGGCCAGGAGCCAAAGTTTGCCAACCCCTGAAATATAGAGTCAGCTTATGAAACGGTCATACATTTTTTGCTATTTTTACCTATCCATCTTGGGGGGTTGGCTTATAAACAAACGGGCTAATGAACGACTATATACGGAACTTCCTTTGGAAAGTGCTTTGAGATCTAGAGATGAAAAGTACCATATAAGGGGGTGGATATTATAATTACTGATACTTTTTTTGTCTCAAGAATTTATTCAGCCCAGGACATTTATGAACAGGAAGTACACGCATCTAAATTTGCATCCGATATCTACGCAAGACAAGTGAATGTTGAGAGAAACAAACAAGTCCAAGTTCTCAAAGTAACATTTAACAACTGTAATAATATATAAATACATCTAGAGAAGAAGATTAATTAAAGTACCATGTCAAGGTCCATGATTTATGCACTGAATCAGGACATTAACCCAGATCTGTGATTTAATATGGCCATTGAGATTCTTGTGGTTGAATTATGTAGTTAGTTTCTTCTTTGTAATTATTTCAACAATATTAAATAATAAACGGTGTGGTCCTTTTTACTCTTTCCAGCTCCTCATGACTGACAGCACTTTCAAAAGCAGCTCCCCGTGCAACTCAGTCAAGAGTTCAGTGCTTCGTTCATGCCTGGAACAGCTTTGCCTTTCTTGAAAAATATCAAAAAGGCAAGGAATGATGCATGGACCCAGGAAACCAGCATTCTGCTGCAGACTAATCAATCAGCTAACTCAACCCTACAACCAACAAAGACCCAAGAAGAGGCAGAAATGGATACCCTGAAAAGCTGTGCTGAAAGTGACAAGACCTCAACCCTGCAAGTCCCAGGCATAACATAGGGCAAGAGGCTGCAATCCATTAAAGGAGGAAAGAGGGTGGGAAGCTAGTTAAAGTGACCCATTTAATTAAATGGACAACTGCCTGCCAGAGACGAACAAAGGAAGGTGGCATTCCAAACACACACACAAAACAAGTAGAGAGCAACAAAACAAAAAGTAACGAAGTTCAAAATACACTTTGCACCAAAAACATGAATAATTTTTGGCTGAGATATTGTAGGTGAACGTGACAGAGCTCACTTTTCTTCCTCTATTACTTGGGAGCAACGCAGATTAAAAATAGGGGATATACTGGCTGAGTTAAAGTGCCTTTTTTTATTTACACTTTTTTGGCTCTCTGTGTGCTGTTTCAATATAACCCCTGGCTACCACACAGCTGAGTGTATATTAGTCCAAGTTACATTACATAAAACTCTATTTAGATAGATTGGAACATTATGCGATAAGAGCAAGTTTATTTAGTTGGGGGGGAGGAAGGGGGGAAGAAGAGGGAGACCTGAGCATCCATCTTTCTGAACAAGTCAGTGCAGCTCCATTTTACAAAGAAAGCTGGAATACCTATATGGGAATTAGCAGTTATGGCCCAATCCTGCTCCCAGTTAAGTCAATGACAAAACTCCCATGGATTCACCTGAGAAAGATTGAGCCAGGGTGAAATGATGCTTTGTTGTGTGTGCGTCTTCCCCATTCCTTTGTAATAAACCAAAACTGAAAAGGCATCCTGACCCTTAGAAAATGCCATAATTGTAATTATATAGTATTACAGCTTAGTGGGAAAGATCTGCCAAGTTTTAAGAAGCAAACACACACCAAAAATAAAAACTATACTTAAAAAAACCCTCTGAAGTCTGTTAAAGTTGTTTTTTATTAAACAAGACAGCAGGGACTGCAGCTGTTTATTTATCCATTAAAATCTATTTGCCCTATGTGCTAAATTGTTCCAAGGAATGCATTTTTTTAACACGGCTGTAGCCTACAGGATAAAAGAGTAATGCTCTCTGCTCTTTTTATTGTCAACTTCACAATAAGTTTCAAAAGATTCTCAGCATTTTAATAAGGTTTTATACACACAGACACAGTATTTTAGGATTGCTATCTCCCTGCTTTAGGCATAAGAGCTTGCCCTAGAACAGTGGCTCTCAACCTTTCCAGACTACTGAACCCCTTTCAGGAGTCTGATTTGTCTTGCGTACCCCCAAGTTTCACCTCACTTGCTTGCTTGCTTACAAAATCAGACATAAAAATACAAGTGTCCTAGCACACAGTTACTGAAAAATTGCTTACATTCTCATTTTTAAACACATAATTTATAAAATAAATCAATTGGAATATAAATATCGTACTTACATTTCAGTGCATAATATATAGAGCTGTATAAACAAGTCATTGTCTATATGAAATTTTAGTCTGTACTGACTTCGCTAGTGCTTTTTATGTAGCCTGTTGTAAAACCAGGCAAATATCTAGATGAGTTGATGTACCCCCTGGAAGACCTCTGCATACCCCCAAGGGTATGTGTACCCCTGGCTGAGAACCACTGCCCTAGACCAGTGGTTTTCAAACTTTTTTCATTTGTGGACCCCTAAAAAATTTTTTAAATGGAGGTGTGAACCCCTTTAGAAATCTTAGACACAGTCTACAGACGCCTGGGGGTCCACAGACCACAGGTTGAAAACCACTGCCCTAGAACATATGCATAGCTCAGTCTCCAGTCATAACAGAAGATAATCTGTTTCCATCAAACACAATTTCAGATTTGCAGTTTTAGATCACATAACACTAAATTCAGTGTGTGCGTTCATCTTTGCAGAAGGGATATGACAGATTTTTGACCCATTATGCTTGTGAATTTTTCTCGGGTTTATTTGCTTGCTCTATATCTGGTTGATTTTTTCACACCATGTACACTTTAAGGGACATGCTGAAAAACTGAAATGATTTCCAACAACCGATATGAGCCTGTGCTGGCTGCAAGAAGAGCAACCAGACTGGTCATTTGATTACTGCATATCTAACTGAGGAAAGCAATGCAGCAGAGTTAATCCAAACAAAGTTCCCATGTGAGAACTAATTTTTGCTGAGCTTTGGGGGTTTGAGATTAAGGGAACTATCATGATGTAACATTTTCATTTTATATCTCATGAGCTACAGCTGTTTACTAATATCAATGAGAATTGTACACAGATGGTACAAAAAAGACTTTTGCACCACTGCTACCGTAAATAACAAACATATATTAAAATTCATCACGTGTAAAGGCAAAGTGATCCTATACATATGCTAATTAGCATATATGGAAATACTATCCGTTCATTGTAGCTTTTACTATAAACCATATTTATAATTTACAGGATTACTTTATGCAATAAAGCATTTTATATGTATACATTTTTCCTTTTGACTAGAATGATTTCTATACCTAAAATGCATGTCTCCCTTTATTCCTTTACTAAAAACAAAAAAGAAATACTTATATTTCACAGTGCATACCACTCGTGCTACGTTCCTCACTAACTGCCACCCTCAAAGCTTTTGCAGAAAAGAAGCTTGTTGTGTAATCTAAAACTGATCTACTTAATATGCTGCATTGGTACAGGGGAAGCCTATATCATGACTTGAGGTTCTCTGTTTAAAAGTGTTTTCTTTTTGCTGTTTGGTGGCAACCATGATACACCTGTAGAAAGGTTTTATTTTAAAATAGTCTTTTCATTAGCCCAATGGATTTGTAGCTCTTGAGAGATTAGTGCTAGCACTGAAAACTGTGAAGATTAGATGAGTTTATCAGTAAATAAACCACTGACTGTAGACCCCATGTCCTATTTCTTGTCCCTCGCGACTTTGTAACTTAATAACAAAAATGCATTCAAACGTAAACCTGAGACAGAAGTCTAGAATATTGGACTAGGTAGGAAAGAGGAGGAAAGGGAAAAAGGTTCAGGTTTAAAATACATTAATTCAAAGAGTACATCAGGATACAAAGCATGGGATTTATTCAAGGCTAGCTGGCTAATGGGTTATTGATTGCTTTTGCTTCTGGATGTGTGGATTCAAATGCTTCATGACAAACCCAGTGGTGCCAACCTATTCTTCAGTGAACTGTGTATATGCATGTTCAAAACAGCCACAGAAATGGGCAATACTGGCAATTGTGTTTAGGAGAGGCCCAGAATTACATTAACAAGAGCTGTTGCGAGTTAAGGATTCAGGTTCAATGACACAGCTGGGTGTAACTTCTGACCAACACCTGCCGGTAATATATCTCCTTCATGCCAGTCCCATTAGAAAAACAAACCTATAAAGAATCTGGCATTCAGGAAGTAGATAAGGGTTCAGAAGCATGTGACCCAGACACCGGCTAGTTGCCTCCCAGCCTGCTTTCCCTCCTGGATGTCTGAGCACAAGTTTAAGAGGGGCATCCCTTCTCCCCGGGGGGAGGAACGATTCCACAGTCAAACCCACCTTGCTTATTTTGTCCTCCAGCTTCTGCAGCCCCTCAGATCAACCTATGCAGTTGTGAGGCTGGCTTGTGTTAATGAGCTTGGAGGTATAGGTGCTGGAACTAGAGATGCTCAGGCACCCCCTGGCTTTAAGTGGTTTCCATCATATAAAGTGTTTATATTTTGGTTCAATGGCTCTAGGCACCTCCACTATACAAATTGTTCCAGCGCCCCTGCTTGGAGGAACAAATAAGCAGTGCTTAATTTGTAATGAAAGGGGTGCCCAGGCTCAAGCAATTAGGTGCTGGGGCTCAAGCAATTTTTTTACTTTCATAACTGAGGCAACAAGCCCAGAGGTACCAGGGCTATGAACGGCCAAGCCTAGAGGTGCCGGGGCTCAGCCCTGGCACAAGTTAAGGACTGCAAATAAGCCAAATGCCCTGGAGCAGAGCGGCCAGGGGTGCAGTGCGGGAGCGGCGCTGCGGGAGGGGGATGCCAGAGGCTGGGGATGCTCAAGAGGGAGACCCCCTGCTCCTTACCTTGCTCACGACGTTCTGGACGAGACCGGCTCTGATCAGGTAGTACCACTCGTGGCAGTGGCATTGGCTGGCGTTGTCTCCCGGCGGCGGGGTGGGCAGCGCCGGGGCCCCCAGCATCCCGGCGCTGCTGCTCTGGCTGTGGTTAGCCAGGCCCCGGGTCAAGTTGTCCGTCCCGTTGCCCTGCCCGTCCGGCTCCCGGCACCAGAAGTCCGGCTGGTCCAGCAAGAAGGAATCCGAGAACTGGCTGAAGCCGATGAAAAGGGCCGGGATCCAAGTCAGCAGCACCAGGGTCCTCTGGTACCCGCCGCCCAGCCCGCCGAGGAAAGGCAGCACCGAGCCATCGTAGTCCAGCAGCAGGGGGCTGCAGGAGCCGGCGGCAGGCGGCGGCAGGGTCTGGATCTCCGCGGTCGCGGGGGGAGCCACCGCCAGCGTCGCTGCTGCCGCCGAGCCCGCCTCCCCGGCCGGCAGGGACCCGTTCTCCTCGGGCAGCTGCCGGCCTCCGCCAGCCGCTTCGCGTCGCCGGTCTATCGCCATCCGGGAGCCTCACATAGAGAGCCGAGGGGGTGGGATGGGGCCGGGCGCTTCAAAGCTAGCACGGAGCTGCCGACTGCGCCGCGGGCTCCGCACGCCAGGGGAGGGCGACCCGAGCCGCCCACGCAGCCCGGGACCCCCCTGTCCTGCGCTTCAAGCCGCGCTCGGCCGAGACCCCTCCGCCGGCAGCCGCCGCAACCGAGCCTGCCCCAGCCCCGCACAGCCGGCGCCGAGCCGCCTCGGGGAAGCCTCTGCAAAGCCGCCTCCGCTCCGCACGGCCACGCTGCGGCTTCCCTGCCCCAGCACCCGCTACGGGTCCCGCGGGCAAGCCGGGGGCAGCGGCCCCGCAGGGCAGAGCTCACGGCACCGCTTGGCTGGCTCCTTCCAGCCCCCGGCCCCGCACATCTGGCTCCGCGCCACGGGGGGCGAGTCCCCCCACCCCGGGGCCCGCCGGGCTGCGGGAGAAGCCCCGAGAGCCGCTGCGCCCGGGAGAAGCTCGCTCCAGTGCGTGGCGGCGCCTCTTCCTCTCTCCCGAGGCTGCAGCTCGCCTCGGCTCCTGCTGCTGCACGTACCGGGGGAAAGGGGCGGGGAGCGTTCCCCACTCCCTTCCGCGTGCGCCTCTCTCGGCAGCCTCAACCTGCAACGCCAGCCCCCTGCCCTCCCCCGGAGGTAAAGGTAACAGCGGCAGCACCTGCGCTTGGCGCCCGGGACCTAAGTGGCAGCCTGGCTCCCCCTGCAGGGAGCAGCCGGACCCAGCCCTTCCCCCACCCCGGGCACCTCCACCGGCAGCCGAGCTCAAGCCATGATCAGCAGAGGAGGGAGACAATCCAGCGCGCTCACTGGACACCCTGCCAGATCCGCTGAGCTCCTGCGCCTCCTGCTGCTGCTCCGGCTAGGAAAGTGGAGGAGGATTTAGGAGCTTGCGCTGAATTGCAGCAGGGTTTGGCTCAGACAGGAGGCGGTGGAAGTGGTGTCAGCCAACAGCAGCAGGGGGGCTCTGTGGGGTGGGGGGTGACGGTCAGCGAACGTAGCAGCTTTGACACAAGATCGACTCACACACACACACACCCCTCTGATCGCTTTGGTTCCTCTCCTCCTCACTCTAGTTACCCCCAGTTTAAAGGAATCGGAGTGGGTCTTCGTCCTAGGCTTCCTTCTTCTGGAGTCTCTTCAGTTAAGCACGTCCCGCTAGGGTATCTGTTTTGGCTAGTATTGAGATATCAGTCTGGTCTCTTAAAGCTGTTTAAGTGTACACAGGCAAATGGCTTATTCGCTGTGATTTGATAAAGAGATTCCTTTATTCCCTATGGGTTGGAATATGACATTGTGTTATTGCAAGGAGAATAAAAACGGGTAGAGTTAAAATGAATCCAGCCTAATAACACTCCATTCAGGTGGCCAAGATAGTGTCACTACTGCAGCAGAGGTAGTGCTGTATTTTACATCATGTATATCCTCCGGGAAGATCACCAACATCCCTTTATAAATTATAACTCCTTTCACCCACCACTGGAATGCAGCCAGCTCTGGGGTAGGATGGAAACGCTGTGTTGGATAACTGTTGTTACATTTGGCATATGTCCTTGTAAACGAGTTCCGTGAACCTGTTTACAACACAACACAAATTATACTTACATGGCACTTTACACAGAAATATGCAAAGCCCTTCACAATTAACTCATTTATTAGTGGTAGGAGCAAAAAAAGACTTGAACATGAAGAATAGTTCCAAGGTTAATAGCTGTTCCTTTCTAATTAAAAGGGGGGTGGAAAGAACATTGTTACAGGTCTTTGATCTATAGAGTTGTGTGGTTATTTCTATGTGAATTATTTACTCTATTATGTCTATTATTCAGTAGGGTAAGAGTCCTGCAGCTTGCTGGTTCAGAAAAGCTATGAGAAGCCAAGTTACAAAACCACCCTGAGTGGCTGAAGAAGGGAGATTAGATAACCAGAACATAAAGCATAACTGATGGGGAGGCCCAGAGGGGTCAAAGGCAAGACCAGAGGCTGAACCAGAACATCCTGTCTCTGAAGCCTATACAGATACAAAATAGTTGGAACTTGGAAGATATATGTGCATAATTTCAAAGAAAATGGCAGTTGAAAAATTAAATTACAAAAAATCATTACCTGTGTTAATCTCTGAGATAATTAAAACTAGGCTTGACAGAATTCAAGTTTTTATAATTTCAATGGAATTATCAATGTTTATTTTTAAGTATTTTTGTATCAATTTAGATTTTCACAGTTGTGCAGAATTATCAGTTTTAATATTTTTTTCAATTTTTATCAATTTAAATTTTTACAACTGTTGGAAATGATAGGGGGATCAGACAATGAGGGGGGTCTGATAATTATTCAATGACAGTAGACACTGAGATTCAAAAAGTTAAAACTGTACAACCATTAAAACACAAATTGTCAACATCACAATCTAAATATACAAAGTAAATATCCTTAAATCCAACTCTAAGAAGTTCTCAGCAGCCTTTTTCTTGCTTTACCTGTCTGTAAATTTCAATTATCAATGGAAATATTTTTTCATCTGTTTGTCAGTGTATGGTGAAATTGACATTCACCAACATTTACTAATAAAATCTAATATCTAAAAGTAACTGTAAATATAATTTAATTTTCACAATAAATGCTGATAATTTTTTTTCCCTTTGTATTTCTCTATGCTGGGAGAAAGGCTAGTGAGTTTTACTTTTGTTTAGTCAATTTCACCTTTTGGATTTTTTCTCCCCAGATGCCTTTGAGAACAGCAGAGATTTCAAATGTGTGGAAATCATAAAAACAGTATAGACAATGATTCTGCAAACAATGGCGCATGTAGACAGTCTGAGTTCAGTATGTAAAGTTACTTCACTTGTAAAAGTGTTTGTAAGATTGTGGCTACTTCTAGTACATTTAGGCAAACAATTTATTTGTGAATGGCCATTGATTTCAATGGGAATTAGGTGCATTAATACCTTTCAGGGTCTAGGCCTCTGTGGCAGAAACATGAATAGAATCCATTTCTCCAGGGCAGCATTCAACTACCTTAACCATGAGACCAAACTTTTTCTTCCTGCAATCCCCTGCCTGATTCATTATCCATTTTCCTACCAGCAGAGGGCGAGGAACCTCAGTGGGCCACTCTGTACTCCTCTCTGGTTCCATGGCCCACTGGGTTGGTGGCTCATCCATGGTGCTGTGAGCCCAGGCATGTACCTGGTGCAGTTCAAGGACTCCCCCAACACCTGTCCCTTTTGCAGTGAGACGGAGACTCTGGTGCACATCTATATAGGGTGCATCAGGTTGCAGCCCCTCTTCTAGCTCCTCCTGAACCTCTTACTGAGGTTCTGGTTGCATTTTTGCTCACATCTCCTGACCTATGCACAGCCCATCCGTGGCCCCACAAAGTCACAGGACCTCCTCCTGACACTGGCCAAGATGGCCATCCATCACTCCAAGAGGAGGAAGTTTGAGGGGAAGTGCTTCACAACTGTGGGGCCTATTTCTGTTCCCTTGTCCAGTTATGCCTCTGAGCAGAGTTCCTCCATGTCCACTGACTTCCTAGACCCCTTTGAGGAGCAGTTGGTGCTGTCTGGGGTACTCTGCTCCTTATCCACCTCTCAATCGCTCATTCTTTACCTCTGATCTCACTCCCAGGCCTGTTTTTTCATTTGTTGCCCCAAGAATCAATTGTAGCCTGGGCTCAGTGGTTCCTCCCCTTTACCTGAAGGGGACGGCCTACAGTTATGGGTGTGCCTAGAACAGCCTGCCCCAGTACTACAAATAGTACTAGGGTGACCAGACAGCAAGTGTGAAAAATCAGGACAGTGGGTGGGGAGTAATAGGAGCCTATATAAGAAAAAGATCCAAAAAACAGGACTGTCCCTATAAAATCGGGAGATCTGGTCACCCTAAATAGTACACGTATTCCAACTCCTGCAACAAATGAAGCAGGTCAGCCTTAATTCTGGTGTTTCCCATTTTTTTAGTGTTTGATTTTGAAACCTTAATAATGTTCTTTTAATGAGTTTTTTGTGTGTAATTATAAATTAGTTGTCAAACAACACAATACAAAAAGGAATTTCTCAAACAGCACAGTAAGTTACTGAACAGTACATACAGTCTTTAGACTTGGTTAGGTTTGTAAGTCTTAATTAAATGTATAAATCAAACCAAGTTGGAATAAAGTCAGTTCCATAGCTTTTTTTAAAAATCCTCAAATGTTTACTATTAAATGGCCCAGGGTTTGAGCTGGTCTCTGAGCTCAGAAATCACAGGCTTTGAGACAGTCCCCATTTGACATGCCCCCCAAGCATGAGATGGTCGCCAATCTTCTAATAGTAACAAAAATGAAAATATTTTTCAGCAGAATGGCTGTGAAACTGCAGCCTGGTGACTATATTTTAATTGAGATACTGTGATAATGGTATAGAATATTAACTATCAGTTCATGAGCAAGAAAAGTGTATTGTTACTTGTAATGGGAACTGCTGGCTGCTAGATTTTGAGGGTCACAGTCAGTTTTACTTTGTAACTTGATTTCTAGAGCAAGGAAAATATGAACTACACCCAGTATACCCCTTGAGGGTTATGAGAGTAAAGTAGTCAGAGGTGCCCTGAGGGAACTCACTGACTCAGAATGCAGACAGATAAATTACACCTCAATGCAGACTAACTGTGCCAGTATGTGTACATGCTACAGAAAGTACCAAACAAATGTAAGGACTGTGACTTAAAGCCTAATTGCCTCAAATGTATTAATCACCATGTTCCAATCTCACAGGACTACATTGGCATATTTAATAAAAATAGAGCTTGTAATCAAGGACTTTATTGCACATGAAATATTTCCCTGCACTTTCTCCAGGTTTTTGTTACCCCTCCAAGTAGGAGACATGCCCAATGGAGAGCTTTCCTTTACAGGAGAAACCCGAAGTCTGTTACTCATCCCGTTCTGTAGCAGTGAAGGGTAAGCGGCTTAATCCAGCCAAAAGTTGCAACCA